CCGCCACTCCTTCCAGAGTCCCTGCTTTCCCCGATACAGACTCCTGCTCTGTAGGTCTGCCCTCATCTCCCTATTCCTACACGCAGGACCTTGCATTTTTTCTGAATTAGCCAGTCATCAAGAGATCCAGATCACCCTGTAAGTCTCCCTTGTCCTCATAGTTGCTTGTCCCTCTGCCAATTCTATTTAATAGAACCAATTCTTCACCTCCGTTTTCTTGTGCAGGGACCGGGACTTCCCTGCTGTGATAGAAGCCGGACGCGAGGGGATCGCCTTCAGACCTCAGGTTGGGGAGGACCGGGTTAGAGAGCTTCTGGAGGGGCTGGACGCGTTCAAGTCAGCGGGTCCGGATGCTCTCCACCCCAGGGTGCTGAGGGAGCTGGCTGGGGTTATTGCAGGGCCCCTGGCACGGCTCTACGAGCGATCGTGGTGCTTGGGCCAGGTGCCAGACGATTGGAAGGTAGCTAATGTGGTCCCCATCTTCAAAAAAGGGAAAAGGGAGGACCCGGGCAATTATAGGCCCGTCAGTCTTACCTCAATCCTGGGGAAGCTCTTTGAGAAGATCATCAAGGAGCACATTTGTGATGGGCCGGCATCAGAAATGATGCTCAGGGGCAATCAGCATGGATTTATTAGGGGGAGATCATGTCAGACCAACCTGATTGCCTTTTATGATCAGGTCACAAAGGCCATGGACGCAGGTGTCGCGGTGGATGTAGTCTTTCTGGACTTCAGCAAGGCCTTTGACACCGTCTCTCACCCCATCCTAATTAGTAAACTAGGCGACTGTGGCATAGATGCCTACACAGTCAGATGGATTGCAGATTGGCTGAAGGGTCGCACTCAGAGGGTGGTGGTGGATGGATCATATTCGACTTGGGGGGAGGTGGGTAGTGGAGTCCCTCAGGGCTCGGTCCTGGGCCCTGCGCTGTTCAATGTCTTCATCAGCGATCTTGATGTTGGGGTGGAGAGCAACCTGTTTAAATTCGCTGATGACACCAAAATTTGGGGGGAGGTGAGCACGCTAGCAGGGAGAGAGAGATTGCAGAAGGATCTGGATAGGTTACAGGGGTGGGCAGACAGGAACAGGATGCGTTTCAATACGGACAAGTGCAGGGTGCTGCACTTGGGTAGTAGGAACCAGCAGCACACTTATACGATGGGGAGCTCCCTACTTGAGAGCACGGAGGCGGAAAGGGATCTTGGTGTCATTATTGACTCCAAGATGAACATGGGCCGACAATGCGAGGTCATGGTTGGCAGGGCTAACCGGACCTTGTCGTGCATCCACAGGTGCATCTCGAGTAGAGCCAGGGAGGTGATCCTCCCCCTCTATGCGACGCTGGTCAGGCCGCAGCTGGAGTATTGTGTCCAGTTCTGTGCGCCCCATTTCAGGAGGGATGTGGACAACATGGAGAGGGTCCAGAGGAGGGCCACCCGCATGATCCGGGGACAACAGGGCAGACCCTACAGTGAGAGACTGCGGGACTTGAACCTATTCAGCCTCCACAAGAGAAGGCTGAGGGGGGACCTGGTGACCGTCTATAAACTCACTAGGGGGAACCAGAAGGGTTTGGGGGAGACGCTGTTTCCCCTAGCCCCCGCTGGCATAACAAGGAGTAATGGGCACAAGTTGATGGAGAGGAGGTACAGATTGGACATCCGAAAAAACTACTTCACAGTCAGGGCGGCTAGGAGCTGGAACCAACTTCCAAGGGAGGTGGTGCTGGCCCCTACCCTGGGGATCTTTAAGAAGAGGCTGGATACTTACCTGGCTGGACTCATTTGAGTCCCGTTTTTGTTTTTAGGGTGAGTGGTTTTGTTTGTGTTTTTGGGTTGTTCTCCCGCCCTGGCGGGGGGTCGGGCTAGAAGATCTATTAGGTCCCTTCCGACCCTGAAACTATGAAACTATGAATACCTGCAAATTTTTCCAGTAGTGCTTTTATATTTGCTGACAAGTTGCTGATAAAAACTTAGGATAAGGCCCATCCTAGATGTGATCCCTGCCTGTGAAATCCCAGTAGAGGCTTGCACATTTCCAACTGCTTTTGGAATTTTGTCAATTAGCCACTTCCTAAACCATTTAGCAGATGCCTATATAGTGCCTGTTGTAATCAGAAAGCTATGCAGCAGACCCAAAAGTCTACTTATACTGCTCATTTGAATGAATCAAGGTTGGTTTGATTAATCTTCAGTGAGATGAGGAGATTAGTGGGAGAGGAACTGGGTTCCTTGAGGGCAGAGGAACTCAGCGTCCAAGAGGAGTGGTCGTTCCTTAAGGAAACGATACTCGGGGCCCAAGGGGTGTCCATCCCGACAAGGGGGAGGAGTGTCCAAAAGCCCCCCTGGCTCACCAAGGGTGTCCGGGAATGCCTGCTTGCCAAAAGGGTGGCG